GGGGGTGGAAAGGAAGGTTGGGTGTGGTGGGGCTGGGAAAGGGAACTGGGCCCTGGGAACGAATATTGAGATTTGGGTTTTTTTGTTTTTTTTTTCTGGATCATGTGAAGCTACACCTGTGTAATCATCATGTGATAAATGAAATGATTGTTCCATGTAACCATTGTTTGGTAATTGAATATAATTATTGTTTAATTGTAATAAGAATGATGAGGAACGATGTAATCATAATGAGAATCACGAGAAAGGATTTTTGGGGGCCTAATGAAAATGACAAGAATTCGTGCTCGGATAAAATCAATGTATGCAACAGAACAATATGGGTTTAATAATTAATATATAGGATATAAAAACATGTCCATCTGGGATCCATGTGGGAGTCAGGTTTGGGGGTCTGCACCCCTGATTCCTGCATAAAATCATTCAGGGATTTTGTGTTCCAACCCTCACAATTCCTCCCCTTGCCATGGCAGGGACACTTTCTGCTCTCCCAGCCCCAATGTCCAACCTTGGCCACTTCCAGGGATCCGGGGGCAACCTCTGGGAATTCCAGCCCAGCCCTCCCCACCCTCCCAGTTCCCAAATTCTTGCTGAGATGAACAAAACACCTCGGTGGCCTCAGAGAGGACCAGGACCAAGATTTTTGTACCCAGCTCTCAGTGGAAATGCTCCAGGCTGGGCTGGATGGGGCTTGGAGCAATGTGGGACAGTGGAAGATGCTGGAGGCAGCAGGGCTGGACTGAAAAACCTTTAAAGGTCCCTTTGAACCCGAAATATCCCACAATTTAATGATTCACCTCAGAGCCAGCCAGGGTTATCCAGCTCCTGCCCAGCTCCAGGGCAGGACAGAGAGAGGAATGTGGAATTTTTCTTTCCAAACGAGCTCTGGGTCTGCTGGTGGATCAAACCAGCTCTGAGAGATAAAAGAAACAATGGGATGGATTCCACTGATGGATGAATGGAAAAAAAGAAATTTTCCTTTACAAACAAACTGAGAAATGAAATTGGATGTTGAAAGGTGGAAGAAGCAATGGGTGCAAAGCTGTGAATTCTGTAAGAATTAAAAATGCCAAGGGAGGGTTGTACATTGGAGGGGAATCTCAGGGATCAGGGGTTTGGGAAGTCTGGGCCTCTCCAGTCCCTCAGCCCATGGGGAAAGAGAGAGGGAAATTGGGATAAAAAGGAGGCTCCAAAAATCGGAGAGATGCCAGGGGAATGTCCCATGGGCTCTCCCTTTATTGGGATAAAGCCAAAAGGACTCCTGTGTCTCCTTTTTGGACACAAACTCTGCTGTTTGTGGGTTCATTTTCCTGTCACCAGGGAAGGGGCATCCAGGGATTCCAGGAATTCCAGAAACCTCAAACTCGGGGCTGTTCCCTCCAGCTCAGGCTCAGACTCACATCCCTGGGATGGTTTGTGGGGCGTGACTTTGCTTTTGAAGATCCGAAGAGGACGAAAATAATTCTGCCCTCCCCAGGGGCACGGCTGGAAAATGTCCCCACGCAACTGCCCTGCCCTGGGATGCACTGGAAGTGGAGTTTTTTAAAATAAATAAAATAAATTGGAGCCCCGATGCTCTGCCTAAAGCAACTCTGCATTCTTTTGTGCGGGTCTGAACTCCCGGGTGGAGAATTCGCACATCTGCAGCTGAAAGTTAAAAAAAAAAAAGGCAGGAATTGCACTGAATGCTCCACCCACCCCGCCAAAAAAAAGGAAGAATTATCTGAAGAAATATCGGAAGCAACAGGGAGAGCCAGACTCCCACGGAGAGATGATTTTGTCTCTCATTTTGAGCTGGAAAAGGAGATTTAGCACAAATTCTGCAGTGGGTGGGTTTTACACCTCTTGACATGAAACACATAAACAAGAGCTAAAAACGTCTTGGTTGTAACACCATGCCACTGCAAAAAAAAAGAAAAAAAAAATTGAAATATGAGGCTCAGAACCATTCAAATTGCTTTAAAATGATCCTTGAATGGGAAAAAAAAAACAAACAAAAAAACCCCAATGGATCAGCCATGCCTGCTCCTGAATGGATGCTGCTGGCTGGGAGCCAGCCTGGAAAGACAATTAATTTGTTTTATACTAATAAATAAAAACATCCAGCCTCCATCAAAGCCTGGGGGCCATCAGCACTGGGAGAAACACCATCCTTCTCCTTAATAACCACTCGTTTGATGGGGAAAAATAAAAAAAAAAAAAAATTCCAAAAGCTCTGAGGGACTTGTCTTTGGAAAATCACAATTGAGTGACTCCATGCATGCTCCAGCAAGTCATTATCCTGCAAAACAGCTGCACTTTTAAAGTTTTTTTGGTTTTTTTTTTTTTTTTTTTGGGGAGATTTTCTGGAGTTTGGCCAGAAAAGTATCAGGAGCATCATCCACACCATGCTGAGAGAAGAAACCACAGAGGCTTTGAAGGGAAAGGAAAAAAAAAATCCCACTCTGCTGCTCCAGAGAGGAGCAATTTGCATTTTTTTTGGAGCTGGAGCAAGAGGGTTTTTTCAGGCCAGTGACCACCTGGGTGGAAAGATTTATCACCTCGTTGAGAACCCTACAAGAACAGGCTGTAAGAAGCTGTCGAGGCACTTGTAACCTAATTTAGGATCGATTTAAACAATTACAGCCTGAAATTTAATGCTGAATAATTTTGAGACAAATGAGTTTCACACGGTGATTCAGCCGGAGTTTCGAGTGTTTTACATTCGAGGAGGGAAGAATGGAAACCGAGGCGGTAAAAACGGAATATTTAGAGAGGACGATTTTTTTTTTTTTTTAATTTTTTTTTAAGGATAATCTTTGCAGGAATGGGTGATTCATCCGTGAGGACACAATGGTGGAAAAATCTCTTCTCTCCCACTAAATTCAGCTTAAATTCAGCTTAAATATGTGCTGATAGTGATCCCAAAGCAGCTTGAGCAGTGGGGGCTGATTAATTCCAGTTTATTTCCAGTAAATTCTGTTCCAATCACAGCTACAGAGGATTCAGGGAGATGGTTAAACCAGGAACCCACCAGCAGGAAAAAACCGGGGGAAAACTTCATTCCCCACATTCCCCACATTTCCATCAGGTGATGGGAGCAAAGACTCCAGGTTCCAGCATTGTCATGTAGAAATTGCCTTTTTTTTTTTTTTTTTTAATTTTTTTTCCCCCCACCCTTGAATGGAAAAACAACAGGATTTATTTTATTCGGATGAGTTGGTTCAAAGAGCAGCAATTTTTCTTCTCTTTTCAGAGAATTATCCTTCTCTAATGTCGGGAACAAGGAGACCACAGCCACTTGAACCAAGAATAACTCCAGTTCAAAATGATTTCCATCCATCACCAGAAACAAATTGGAGGAACTGGATGAGAAAATTCCAAGCCTTCAACCCCTAACGAGCTTTAAGGAAATATATTGATATTATAGAACACATTTTGATGGGAAATGAAGGCACAAGGCACAAAAAATACTTTTATCCATATTAAGGCTGGTAAAGCTTGAGAAGAAAACAATCCAAAATATCATTTCAACACCTGCAAAGAGAATTTTTTTGGCCCCTTTCTAAAGAAGCTGTTCCACTCTAGGGATTTCTGGAAATGCTGTTGTGGAATTTGATTTTGTTTTGGCCCTGCTGCACCCACAGTTAGTGGTCATGAATCCATCAAAAGTTCTGGAAATTGTAATAATAATAATAATAATAGTAATAATAATAATATTCTATTATTTCATGGCATTATAATATCCCTGTGTTTTACAGCTGTAAACTGGGATAGAAAATGACCACAAAAAGCTCGGGATAAAGGTGCTGCTTCCTAAGGACTCTTTCCAGTATTATCCATCCCTGAAGAGAGGATTTCCCAGGAAAGAGGGAATAAATTCCAAGAATTGCAAGAGCCTGACATGGACAACAACAAGAGTCAGTCCCAGTCAAGACATGAAATCCCGAATTTTGGGCTGGGATTCCACCCTGCCCAGTTCTCCACGGGGTTGGGATGACAACTTTTATCACTGCTCCACAAAGAAAAGAAAAAGTTCAAAAAAAGATGTTTCCAAGGAGATCTCTCCAAACCCTGCACCTCCAGCCCAAAGCCCTCACATCATTTTTTGGTGCAGGGAGCTCTGGGGCTCCACATCAGTCACCTGGGGAGGATTGGATCCCATCCCTGCTCCACCTGGGAGCTTGGAATGTGAATTGAGCCTGATCCCACAGCTCTGGGACTGCCAGGTGTCCCCAGAACTTCTATGGGAGACTCACATGAAAATATTCCTCATTCCCAAGATCCCACCCCAATCTCCCCTTTCCCAACCTGAAGCCATTCCCTGTGTCCTGTCCCTCTGTCCCTTGTCCCCAGTCCCTCTCCAGCTCTCCTGGAGCCCCTTTATTCCCTGGAATGTTCTGGAAGCTCTCCCTG